AAATTGAAAAGATTAATTTAAACGGGGTGAAATATTGTTCAAATAAAATTAAGGAGAATGTGCTTTTCTGTTGAGATGGCGCGTTTAGATTTTTCGATGTGATATTACCATTAACTGTTTTGAAACAATTCGGATGTTGAATTGTTTCAAAGGATACCACGATTCCCGTTTGTCTGATATCAGAGATAACACGCCGTTTCACAAAGATTTTACAATGAGCAGAAAAATGTATATCTATAAATACGTCATCAAGTTAAGTACATGTTTTTTGTGATGAGCTTTGAGTGAAAACGATCAGGCTACTTCTGGTGTGTTTATAACTAAATATATGAAATACTTGATAATAAGGTTTCGAATTATCTTCAATAATGCCACGACTAAACTTTGGTAATACAAGTCTAATAAAACCGCATTAAACACAGTCCAAAGCGGTTCAGTCAGTTGGTGTAAGTGTCTGGCTTTGCAACTCGACAGCTTGTTACTTGTAATATACTTCCTACTGCAAGTAACCAAGTATTAGATAGAATCACCGCTGTGATATATATTTATACACATACATGTAAATTTATTTTATTGCATAGCATTTTTTATCAATTTATGCAATTATTTATTTATGCAGTATTTTTTTGTTAGGTTTTTATTTTCGTTACGGAATTTCTTGATTCGGTCGCCGCGCTCAAAGCCCGCGATAAAATCTATGCAATAGCTTTAAAATACTCCTTTTTGAGGTTTGTTTTATTCATTACAATATATTCCATTTATTAAATATTATTTAGGAATTAGTTTGATATTAAGAATTATTATTTATAATGCTTATTTTTAATTCACTCAGTATAAGACAAAAAAAAAAATAAGTATTACGGACTATAACGTTGCTGGCAGACCACATACCAATAAACTTTAAAATAACAACTTCATTTAGGATAAATAATATAATCGATACTCCAATCCTTGATGATCAAGAAATTATTATCTAGAATACAAGTACAGACATCTAAGTCAAGACTACGCCACTGGATTTTTTAGGTACTGACTAATATTTTTAAGCATAAAAGATTCCATAAATAAACTAGCTGATCCGGCAAACGTCGTTTTGCCATGTATATCATTTATAATAAAAAATAGGTGTTGATCGTAGAGGGGTGAAAATTAGGGGGTGTATGTATTTTTTAATGCTGTATCATAAAAAAAAATGTAATCTAAATATTTAAAAAAAAATATTTAGGGGTGGACTACCCTTAACATTTAGGGGGAGGAAAAATAGATGTTGTCCAATTCTCAGACATACCTAATATGTACACAAAATTTCATGAGAATCGGTCAAGCCGTTTCGGAGGAGTTTAACTACAAACACCGCGACACGAGAATGTTATATATTAGATAATGCAAGGGCTTGACGAATATGGGAAAAAAGTAACATGTGTTATATTTTCACTGAAGTATTTCCGAACCAATTTGACTTAGGGTCCTTCAAGAAAAGAGCGTACCCATTCTTAAAAGGCCGCCATCGCACTCTCGAGCCCTCTGGCATTGAGAGTGTTTATGGGCGGTATCACTTAACATCAGATGAGCCTCCTGTTTGCCCCCTTTTCTATGTAAAAAAATAATTAATTAATTAATTAACCATCCGAAACGGTCACTTACAGTTCAGCTATGTTCATTGGAAATTTTCGTGCTTTTTATCGGCAAGTAGGTCATCCAAAACTTTTTGTATGCCCTAAATTTTAAGCCAAAAACTACGAAAGGTTAATTACTACTTGGCTAGACTTTGTTACCACATTTCATGGATTCCAATTTATCCTAATAATTTGCAGTTACCACAAGTTCCGGGTGACGGTACATTCCAGTGTCTATATCACTAACACTTTATCTAATTTAATATAGGCAATTTAAGGGCATAAAACTTTGATATTATTATTAGATTTTAACTAGTGTAAATTTGAATAATAATAAGTAACTTCGAGGATGTCATATCGAGGAAACAAGTTTGATGATTATTTTAATAAAAAACATAATGATTCTTATATATTTAATAACCATAATTATTAGATATTTATATCGAAACTAGCTGACGCGGCAAACGTTGTTTTGCCATGTATTTTATTTCTAGGAAACATTTTTTTAGTTCAATAAAAATAACTATCTACTTTAATAAAAAACAGGGGTTGAATGTAGAGGGTTGAAAATGAGGGGTTGTATGTATTTTTGTATACTCTATCATAAAAAAATAAAAACAAAAAAAAATCTAAAAAATAAAAACAAAATTTTTGGGGTGGACTCCCCATATCACTTAGGGGTTTGAAAGTAAGATAGTAGCCGATTCTCAGACTTACTGAATATGCATAAAAAATTTCATAAGAATCGGTCGAGCCGTTTCGGAGAAGTATGGGAATGAACATTGTGACACGAGAATTTTATGTATATACAAATACAAATTTAGAATATAAAAACCTTTAGGCAAGACTACAAAAACGTATGTATAATCTATTCAGTTTCCGAGGGAATTAAATAACTAATAAATATAAATTCATGTTACTACATTTAGCGATTTAATCTGGCATAAGTTGGGCCATTCATTCTCTATCAGCTTTATTTTATTGGCTAAGATCTCAGATTGCAAACGAATTAACTATAAGTCTCTCTCACCCCAAGTATCTATAATCCTCAGCTTTAGATAAAATTTATTTACGTTAATTTTAATTAAGCCATATCCCTTTACTTCTTAGGCTATTTATATTAAAGATAGAAAAGATTTGTATGTTGTGATAAAAAACTCAAGAAACCAGTGGGGCTTCAACTTTTTGGTGTAGGATGGACACCATTTGGCTTAGATTTTGTTTCTGTGTATATCTTTTTCAGCAGTAGCCTTCAGTGCCTGACAGACGCCATTGACTTTTTGTGACAAGGCCGTTCACCATACGAGTGAGTGAAAAACGTGTAAAGAGACAGAAATTCCATAGGTGCAAAGCCGGGGTTCGAATCTACGTCCTTAGGGATGATAGTCTCATGCTGAAATCACTGGGAAAATACTACTTTTTTTATAAATATAAACTTACCTAAATTTAAAACATCTCTATACATATAATGAAGGAGTAAAAGTATTGTGTTTAATATTCTAAATTCTTTAGAACGCCCCCAGGCTACCTGCGTCACGGAAGATCAATTTTTTCTGATGCCAGCTCTGCAATGCTAGCAAGGAAAATCTATAAATTTTATTTCCTTTAATTAAGATTAAGTAAGTTGCATCATAAACAACGCGCAAGCCATCACAGCTACTAATTTGTTCATAAGTAGAATTCTTATTAAATAACTCTTTAAGGTATCTGCAGTGAGGCTATAGACTCACTTCCCGTCTATTCACTTAGCTCTTTCTCTATCTTCCTTTAAATGTCGACTGTACAAACATTACCTGTCACACATCGTATCCCCAACTTTCGTAATAACTGATGTGAAACTGATCTAAATTTATCGTGATTCATGTGCAATTTTTTTCTTTTATTCCAAATTGCTTTGATTTATTCCATAAAGTTTGTCTAATTAACTATGTCTTATGTATTTTTGCACTTCTTGCTTACCTTATCTAATTTTAAAAATTTTTCTCACAGTGGTTGCCTGGAAGAGATCGCTCGAAAGCGATAAGGCCGCCAGTTACCGGCCTTTTTATTTAATTATGTCTATTATATTTCTGCAACCAAATGTTAACAAATAAATATGTTATAAAATGATAAAAGCTTGTTTAGAGTTTTGAGTTGACAAAGGTAAAATGAATCAACGCTTAAAAATTGTACACATTTATTTTATACAAAAAACGCTTTGTCAAAATCTTTTTATACAACAAAGTGAAACATTAAGTACGAAATTTTTAATAACTTATAACATCGATTGTTTAAGATAAAATTGAAACAGCGTAGCGTTTAATCGACTTCAAAAAGGAAGGCATCATCAATTTGTTGGAGCTGTATGTTTCCTGTCTATGTTATTTGTTTGTATGGCTTGTTTCATTGTATACTTTCCAGGTAGTCCAGAATAAATAGGGTCTTCAATCGAGGACATTTTTCAGAACTGTCATTGCTACTTAAAATTTATAGTATTGAGATAACAATGATAGTTACCAAAAAGTCAGACAATATCAATTAGCGTAAAAATATGACGTAGTGTTTTTACGTTTTGACTCAAGAAAAATAAAGTTTATGTGATTTACTTGTGGTTTCATGATGACAGAACTCCAATAATTGTACAAAATGAAACGATAATCCGAAGGAAAATGTTTTTGAAGTCGAATTAAAATCATTACAAGTACATGCATTAAGGGATTTATTAAAATTATGTAATTTATAAATTAATTAAAAGTATACATTTTTTACGTTTCAAGTTTGAAATAAAACGTACCGAATATTATAAAAAATAAAAAAAGTGTGACTAGAATTATTTATTTAGATCTTATTTAATAATAATAAGCTCCCTTATGACACTAGCTTTACTAAAAGGCAAAAATAATAATATTAATAATAACCTCTTACAATATTTCAACGCACTTCAGGTAATCTAAAGTACTTTGTGTTTTGATGGAATTTAAGTCGTAAATACCAATGATAGTGACACTTTTTTTAAGTGAGCCGCTTTCGGTCGTCTATCAACGCGATGGAGACTGTAGGACATTAAGTCAAAGTAATTCAAATATCAATGAAAAATGGTCTGAAAAAACATTTACTTAACTTATAAATATTGACAAACGTTACAATAAATATTATAATATTAATTATATTCTATTTTATGTACAATTATGTTTTTAATGACCTACTTCAAAAATTTAAACTTAATTAATTCCTAATTGAATTTTTCCGTTAAACCAAAACCTGGTTAATTGAAATATTTTTATATACAGTTTCACGACAAATATTTACATAAGATTATGCTAAAAGTCTATATCTCATATATAATGATGATCCTATGGTGTTTATACTGAAGTTTTAGTAATATTCCAGTATGCAATAGACACTCTAAGTAAAAAAGAAAACAAAAGACGCGGCCCATAGCAACAGCGCTGAGAGAGAAACTCCACAGGCTGAATTCATTTCATGAAATCTGAAAGTTTTCATTTCATTTTGAATTGGTATAACTGGATCCACGATAAACGGCGTTTCTGTTGTTTTAATAGTTTCTTTGCGACAAGGTAGTGTTTCAGTGGGAATTTTTAAAACGTTCCGTTTCACGCCCTTCTTTGAGATTTCGTCAGTCGTGTTTTGTTTCGCCGTGTCCTCGATGTAATTAATTTTATCGTCCATTTTGTTATACGCTGAGCTGACGATTGGTGGATCCATTTTGCAGGTCACGCCATCAAGCGAGTCTTTAGTGCTTTGACTTTTTGTCTCGTTTCGTAATGAATGCATCCATTTCAGCCTGCAGTCACAGACGAAGTTGTTCTCTGTAAGCAGAATTAAAAACTAATTAGAATCGTTGCATTGAAATAACGTACAAAACTCTATTGAATTTATTTTGCATTCGAATTTCACAAATACTAGGCTTTATGAATTACCTAATTAATATTTTTGTTTTTGAATTTAATTTAATAAATAATAATCTCTAAGCATTGAGTTGTATGAAATATGATCTAACTTCTCAAACAACATTATGGCCTCAATATTTCAACAAAGTTTTTCTGGCATTCTTTATCACGCAGAGATGACAAATGTTTAGAAGACAATGTTGAAAAGTTTAGCCGGCCTCGAGAGTCAAAAGATAACTTTGTCAACATTTATAACAATCCATGTTAAACGGTACGTAACGGGAATAATTTTTTGGGTCACAAACAAGCTTTGGAAATTGGATTTTTTATTAAATGATTATATTAATTAAATATTTTACATGCTTGTTGCAATTTATTAAATAGTTCTGGTAGGCCATCGATCGAATTAAAAATGCCTTCCTAATGTTATTCGTTCAATAAAATAGAAAAAGAGACAGCTTACATATAACTATATAAAGAGATGTAATAGTAATAATATTATTGTTTTTTAAATTTGTTCACTAATTCGATTCGTGATTTAATTTTATCTATCTCAACTATTGCATAACAAATATAAATTATAATTGTACAATGGAACGTGAGAAATTGAGATTTTATTACCTAAACAGTTACAAAGATATCAATGAATTAAAATGCCCCGAAGGATCGTAAACGTACGAAAGTTCAAACTTTATTAAAGTTTAGCGGTATCTCAATTCCTTCTCGTTAAACATTCAAAATGTTATAGAAACTCATTACAGAATATGTGAGGTGCTGCTAAATATTCATTACCTTCAAGTAGCAAATTGCTGTTTAGAGGTTTCAAATTATCCAATATGGGCTTTATATTGTCGAAAGTTAACGCGTGGAGCTCATTCGAACGCAGGTCGAGGGAGCTAAGGCCCCGCACTCCTTCAAACAAGCCCGGGGGTATAGCGGCCAGTTTATTGTCGTCAAGGGATAACTTCCGCAGCTGGGACAGACCGTCGAACGCCCTCGCAGATATATACTTTATTTCATTCTTCCCCAAAAGTAACTCTTGTAAATTCCACAATTCGGCGAACGTGAATTCGGTCAAATTGTAAATACGATTCTTCCTCAGATCCAATTTCCGCAAGTTCGCCAATCCATCAAACGTGTGACGGTTTAGATGGAATATGCTGTTTTTATTCAGGTCCAATTCCAAGAGATTGAACGTGTGCTGGAAAGCCCCGTTGCTAATCGTTGTTATATTGTTTTTCGTCAGAACCAGCTTTTGCAGCTTAGGGAGATCAATGAAAGAATCTTTTCCAATTTCGAGTATTGTGTTTTCCTCCAAATTGATAACTGTGATATTGGGTAAATGCGCAAATGCAAGTGGTTGCAGGGTTTCTATTTGGTTCTGAGACAACGATACTTCTTTCAGGTTAGTTAGGTTAGCAAATGCGAGGGGGGCGATGTCAACTATGTTTCCATACTTTATGTTTATGGATCGAAGTTTCTGTAAGTACTGGAGAGCTTTGGTTGGCACGTAGCCTAACGCGCCGTCAACGCGGATGTTGAAAGACAAAGTTTGCAAAGTTGGTTGTGACGCGAAACTTTGCCAGATGAGGTCATCCCTGGGAATACCTCCATTGAATACCCAGCATTCGGCCTTTGTTGCGTTCCTTGGCTCTCTAGTGTTCTCGCAGTAGCAGTGAACTTTTGAGTCCCTATCAGTGATATCACAGATGTTCTTTTGAAATCCTCCCTTTTCTTTCGTTCTTCGTTTAGTGTTGTCCCTGGGTTGGACGGCCGACATTTCATTGGCTAAAGCCATTATGACAATTATATATAGGATTCCAATTATTCGCAGCTCCATTTTAATATATCTGGAACAAAGGAAAATATATTGGTTGAGCTAGCGTCAATAAATAATTTATATTGAAATCAAAATTCATTTGTATTAGTGCAGAATTAGTCAAATTAGCAACTGAATAATTATGAATTTGGATTGAAATACGTTATAATGTACAATATTTTTAGGTAAATTAGAGCAGTGTTGGCCTAGTGGCTTCAGCGTGCGACTCTCATCCCTGAAGTCGTGGGTTCGATCCCCGGCTGTGCACCAATGGACTTTCTTTCTATGTGCGCATTTAAAATTCGCTCGAACGGTAAAGGAAAACATCGTGAGGAAACCGGCTTGCCTTAGACCCATTAAGTCGAGGGCGTGCGTCAGGCATAGAAGGCTGATCACCTACTTGCAAATTAGATTAAAGATCATGAAACAGATACAGAAATCTGTGGACCAGACCTAAAAAGGTTGTAGCGCCATTGACTTATTTTATTTATAAATTAGAATACATGAGAAATAATCGTACTATACATGTATTGAATGCAATAATATATAAACTACTTTCTTCCAATATATGATTTCGAGGTTTACGGCAAAAAAAAATTACGACTCCTTTAACAACAATCGTTATATTTCACAAAATTTACAAAAAACTATGTTAAAATATAAACCTAATCCATTCGGTAGGTTTTTAGTTTATCGCTCTCTAATACACAGACGCTACCCGGGGACTTTATTTTATAATACGTAAGAATATCTGATTGCAATTAAAATATACTCTTTATATATTATTTATAGTAAGAATAATTAAAATGATTCAAACAGTTTTAGTATAATTGTGGGAAACCTTGCGCAAACCATTCTATTGCGCTAGTTTTTAATTTTAAATGACGGGATACCTTAATACATCAGTCACTCTCTTATTTTACTCCTTTCGAGGTATATTTAAATCATTCCTTATCAAATTTCCAACTTTATTATGATAGCCCATTAATCTCTTAGTTATACCTAACAATTTAATACACAATTGTTAGGTATAACTTATATTTTTAAGGTTTTTTTGCAACGCAATAAATAAACTGTTATATTTGAATGTCTTTTTTTTATTTACGCTTACTTTTAAACTGCGATTTCTTATATAAACCAGTTCAATGAGTCTCAGTACTGTTGTATTATAAAGCTAACTGGAACTTTTAATGCCCTCGGGGAGTATAAGATCTTGCTTTACAAAGAAATACGAACCATTAACTACTAACAACATACGAAGAATATTTATCTTAAAAATAGTCTATGTAAACCTCCTTTGTACAGATTTTTAGTACAGAAAAAATTCAGATTTACTCTGTACAGAATCAGGTTTTAGTATGTCACCATATTCAAGAGCTAGAAGACCGGTAGTAGCTCTAGACAGAAGATGAGTAGATGCTTCCAATGAGAAGTCACTCCCATAGCCTTAGGGCTGATTGCAAATACCCGCAGAAAAAAAAGAGGAAAGAAAGAGTAAAGGTTTTCTTAGGAGACCAAGTTAAGTGACAAACATTCTTATATAATACTTTTTAATTCAAAATAATTTCAGCCAAGATTGGTTGATTTGTGGAATAAAGTATTGGGTCAGATAGTTGTTGGTACCATAACATCGAATGTATAGTTACTTCACTTCTATATGTTCGATGTTCGATTTATTTTAATTTTTTTGCAATGTATGTAGGTGTAAAACAAAACAAAACTAAACAGCAAAAAACATTTAAAAACATTACTGACTTCAAAATACATTAAGGAATATTTAATCAAGTTTTTTATTTTAATTACTTCTTTATTCGTTTTATTAAAAATATCAAAAATCGTCCAATTAAAACAAAAACTACTGTTTTCTCTGTCCAACCAATTTGTTTTTACGCTCTGATGAAAATATACAAACAATGGTGTAACCGTTTTAGCTGTGTCTATATTTTTCTTTTAACTTAGACTAAGTTTTTATAAGGGATTAATTAAGATTTTATAAGACAAATTATAAAATCTTAATTAAAATTTTTAAAAATTATTCGCGTTTAAAACTATCCTCTTTAACATCGGTAAAAAAGCTCTCTTTAATATATGCATACAGTGTATCGTAAAATTATGTGTGGTCATACAGATAAGCTTTGATATGCCTGTGCGTTTCTAAATTTGAATTTCAAAGCGCTTTCGGAATTGGGTTACGGGTTCTGCTACTGACCAGCCTAAACAATAAGGCCTATTGAATTCGTTGAATATTGATTTTAACGTATACTCACGCTCAGGTGATAAAACCCTGAGCCTAAGGATCTTACATATTTCCTACCTACAACACTACGTTTGCTGCTTTTACTTTGCCCGGTGCAAAAAGATTTTTACACGCTTTATATTAGCTTCACCTGTATGTATGTATGTATGTATGTATGTATGTATGTATGTATGTATGTATGTATGTATGTATGTATGTATGTATGTATGTATGTATGTAGTATGTATGTATGTATGTATGTATGTATGTATATTGTGTGTATGTAACCGACTCCTTCGGACTCGATTTTGACCCACTTTAAACGGACAGATTTAATTCAAACTTTGTACACTTATAAAGAATCAGCGACAATATAATAATTTCATAGGTTTATCTCGAAAAAACAATGAAATTTTTTTTATCCCAGCAATACGATTAAATTGGAAAGATGCAAAAAAAATAAAAATAAATTTTAAAAAAAAAAAAAATAAAAAAAAAAAAAGAAAAAAAAAAAAAAAAAAAATATATAATTTGGGGGGAAAAAGGGAAAAAAATACTGGTTTTATTGTGAAAAAGCGTGGGTTGCTCGATAGACAAAAAATATGGCACAGAGCGCCCCAGAGTTTTTTTAAACTATATTTATTGAAGTTATGCTTCTTTTGGCGCGTAAGGGAAAAATGATGAGAGTAAATTGTTACGATGCGCGCGCACACTGTGACAAAAAACCGACACCCTCAAGTTAGCATAGTCAACATTTTAAAATAAAAAATGTCCATTTCTTTAATTATATATAAATAATTTTTGTGATATTTAAATAAACGTTATTTAACTAGATAATGCGTTATGATAAAACGTTCAATGTATTAAATACCTTTTTTCTACAAACGTAGAATTAGGCGAAAGATACGATTTTTATCTTGTTACGCCAAAGAAGTATAACTTCTAACGCGTGTACATAAGTACACACACATGTTTTTTTTATACTAATTACTGCGCTATGAATATAGTTTGTTACTAGTTAATTAAGCAAAATACTAGTTATAATTGTAATGACCTAGTGTCGCTACAAAAGATCCTGGACTCAAGTTGCATCCATTTCTATCGTCGTTCGTCGTCGGTCTTTATCTTTTGTAGTCAAGTTTTTTTTAATAAAACAGGCGGCAAAAGGCTTACTCCTCGTTAAAACTGTAGTGGTGGAACGATGGACGTCGAGGTGATACGGATTGTATTTTGTATTCTATCTTGATGATGAAACTCAGCTTTAGGTTTTAACCGAAGAATCCTTCTGAAAATCCTCCATAGTAAATGCGGTAGAAGATACGAAAAAACCCAACAAGTCTACGAAACACAAAGGGCCAAGCCGCTTGGAAAGTGACTGGTCGTGGACGATTCGAATCGCTCTTCGTTAAATACGGTCAAGAAGAAGGAGTTAGTATTGGTGAGCTACCCAGAGTTGAGAATAATACTTAGAATTTGCGCTTTATAGTTTTTCAAGCGGTGTCCTGAGTAAAGTACAACCTCGCTTTGATGAGCACACCAAGTCTGTAGGAGGCTAATAGTAGCGTTTATGTCTTAGACCCAAGAAGAGGGCGTGTGTCAGGCACAGAAGGTTAGAAAAAATATATAATAAAGAAATCTGCCCAACCCCACTGGTTTTTTATATACCATTTACATTAAAGTTTTTAAATTATAAAGCTATTGAAGGAAAATATGCTTGAAAGCGGGTCACAAAAGTTTATCCATTCTACAAAAGATTTCACGTAATAAATCTCAGTGCTATCAACCATTCGTCTTTTGGTTAAAAAGATTAACCAGATATGTCCGGTTTCTATATCTAGAATGCTAGTCGTAATTGATTCGACTAGCTATCAAATGTGATTTTTATAGAAACTATAAAAAAAACAGTAGAAATTTTAAGGTCTGGTTTTTTATAGAAACATAATAACAATTACGTCTAGGTAGGGATGATGGGTGGATAATGACCTGAGACATTTAAAATAGTAGTAATGTAGGCGTTTTCATCTCCGTTCTAGATTAAAATACATAAACACACAAAATAATAATAATCAAAGAAAAAAATAGAATAAAGAATATAATGAGAGATATCAAATTAAAAAAAATCCTTTTTCCATTCGGTTCGTTTCAAGTGTGTAATGCGTGTGTGCTGTGGTTGTTTTTGGCCCTGGCTCAGCATTATGCTGAGGAGCAGAATGTTCCACAGCGCTGGTCATTCTGCCAGAGACCACAGCAGCTAGCTTGCACCTCAGTCGCAAAAAAAGAAAGAAAAGGAATAGTATTGTCTTTGATTTACATAACCTTTACATATTTAAAGAAAAAACTGTTTGACCGGATTGAAGTTATGTATTATTATAAATTTACAACTATTTTACATAATTTTAAATTTATCCGAAGTTTCGCGTGCTTTACAGCGTGCGTGGTCACGGTGACTGAAGACAAAAGATGTTGGATGTCAAAAAGTATCACAGCTGTAGAGAAAGTTGCCTTATCTGTATTTATTACCCCGGAGTTGGTATCGACTAAAAGATGGAGTGTATATATAACTTCAATCCGGTCAAACAGTTTTTGACGTGACAACGTCTTATAATTCGATGGAGCCGGCTGCACGCACGAAAAAACATGACTCATGCGGCGTTACCTCGCTCTGAGGCGTTACCTCTCTCTGAGGCGTTACCTCGCTCTGAGTCGTTACCTCGCTCTGAGGCGTTCCATTTAAAATTGACATAATTGTATTTATGCGTACAAATAAATGTAACTTGATCAATTC